TTGGAGCAAGATAGAAGGATTTTGGGAAATTCCCATCTAGGTAGTCCCTGGCATGAGCATTGGTGCGTGGGATTTTATTGGCGAGATTGGAACCTATGGTTGAGAAGAAGTCGTTTATCTTGTTAGCTGTGTCAGTGGGATGCAGTGGTGTTTCATTAGGTTTAGTTAGGGCAATATTCTTGTTTTTTTCAGTTTGTGGTCCCTAGAATCTGAGAGAGTGTTTCCAGGTCTTTTTATATCTCCTCTTGTGTCAGTGAATCTACTGGAGTAGTACAGTTGTTTGGCTTTCTTTATTACTTTGGTGAGGACTGATGAATAGTGTTTAAGAATATCTTTGTGTATTAAGCCTGCCTATATTGCTTTTCATATTGGTGCTTCTTATCAATGGATTTCAGAATGGTACTGGTTAGCCATGGGCAACCAAGCCATTTGTTTGTGATCTCTTTCGTTTTTATAGGACAATGTTTGTTGTATAGTCCTAAGTAATTTATTAAGAAAAATGTCTGTCCAGTCATCAATACCATTGGCCTTGGAGAATTCTGTAGGCCAGTCAACAGTCTCTAGGTCAGCTGTGAACTTCCTATTGAGGCCTCATCATGGAGTCTAAATGAAACTTTGTTGTATTCAAGTGGTTTTTACTAATGTTTGTCAAGAGGAAGGTAGGGTAGTGGTCTGTAGTGCTATCTGTGATTATCCCTGATTTTAGGGGGCTAGTATATGGTCTATATGTGGTCTATTAGGTTGCACTTGTTTCAGTGAGCCTGGTTGGTTTAGTTATTGTTGGTATGAGAAGTGTGTTGTTCATATTGTTAATGAAATCAGTTACAGGCTGATCATCTAGTAGGCCAAGGTTGATGTTGAAGTCTCCAGCTAAGAGAAGGTGGTGCTTATTCATTGTCTGTTTGTTATTAGTGCCTTTAGTTTCTCACTGAAATTTGGGATGTTTGTGTGGGGTATCCGGTAAATGGCACCGATTGTTATAGGTGTCTTAAGGTTTTTTACAGCAAAATTAGCAAAAATGTATTCTCCATATTCATCACTAATGCAAGTGGTGCTAAATACAAGATAATTGGTTAGAGTAATAAGATTGCAATACCACCCCCAACTTGGTATGGTCTGCAGTTGTGGATTGCTGTGATCCTGGTAGAGGTAGAATCTATTATGTCCTGCTTAAGCCAGGTCTCAGTAAGAATAATGCAGGAGAAGGGTGTCTTTAGTGATTCAAGGAGTGCCAGGAGGTCATCATAGTGTTTGCTTAAGGACCTAATGTTGTAGTTAAGTACTGATAGACTTTAGCATTGTTTAGGATAGTGCTGGCTTGTGATGCTGTGTAGTAAAGGCAGTTACTTTTCAATAGGTTTTGATTGTGTGTCAGATTATGGAGGTTTAGATCAGGGTCGACGTGATCAATCATCTTCTAAGTTTAAATTATGGTTATTTATATCCTGAGTTGTGGTTGAGTTTTAGTACTGATATCTGTAGTGGGGGAAGTTTGGACAAGTATATAGCTATAGCATTTTGGTCATGTAGAGTATAGTCACTAATACACATAATGGAGTTGGTGTTGTCTATGTGTTGTGCTGGAATGAGCTAAAGTACAACTATGTATAAACTAATAATATAAAAATACAAATTAAAAATAGCACAAGACTCTCACTTGTAATTGCACTAAGGTCTAATGTAATGACTTTGGTATAGTCTATGTATTGAGCTAGAATGAGCTATAGTACAAGAAGGTTTAATCTAATAATATAAAAATACAAATTAAAAATAGCACCAGACTCTCACTAGTAATTACACTATGGTCTAATATAATGAATTTGGTATTGACTATGTATTGAGCTAGAATGAGCTATAGTACAACTGAGTTTAATCTAATGATATAAAAAAGGCACAAGACTCTCAATTGTAATTGCACTAAGGTGTTATATAAGTTGTTTACAAGAATTAGAGTATAACTAGATTTAAATTGACAAGATAAAATATGCAAGTTAAGGTAGCAAAATAATAAAAAAAGTAGAAAAAAAAATATATGAGGTAGTTGGTACTAGTTAGCAAAAGATAATTAAGGGCCTTGAACAATAATATAATTGAAATATCCACTAATTGCACACACAATATAGTCACTAAGATATGAAAACAATCTTAGAGTAGGACTTATAATATAAACTGATAATATAAAAATACAAATTGAAATGGTACTTGCAATTGCACTAGGGTCTGGTATAGGTTGTTAACAAGATCAAGAGCATAACTAGATTTAAATTGACAAAATAAAATTCACAAATTAAAGTACCAAAAGAATAATAAGTAAAAAATAACAATGACAATGTCTTGGTTATATTATGATAGTAAGATGGTAGACAGGTACACAGGTACAAAGGATAATATAGAGGTTGGAGTTGAATATACAAACTTGGAAATTTGGCAACTAAATGTTATGGGAAGTATAAAATAATGATTAATGTACAAAAGTAAAATTGACTGGTAGTAAATATGGTGTTTAATAAAATTTTAGTAAGTAATAATGATTACAAAACAAGTGAAAAAGTTATGTTTATTTCATTCAATATTGCACTGGTAGTTATACTTGAGGTTATTTGGCAGTACAAGGTAATTAAGAGTACTCTAAGATAGTAAATGTGGTATTAAAACTGGTTAAGGTAATTAGATGAGTAATGGTTATTAATTGATGTCAAAAATGTTAAGAGTAAATTGTATTGATAGTAAAAATGGTAATTATTAATTTTAGTAAGTAATATCAATTGATAGTATTTAAAAAAAATAGGTAGTAATATGGACAGAGAAAGTATTGATTCAGCTAATATTTAAGCAAACAATAGTAAATAGGGTCGGCCTAGGAAAGGTTGGAGGGAGGGGGTAAAGGAGGTTTTGTGTGCAAGGGGCTTGGACTTCCAGCAGGCATGCGTGAGCGTGTTTGATAGGAGTGAATGGAGACAAATGGTTTTTAATACTTGACGTGCTGTTGGAGTGTGAGCAAAGTAACATTTATGAAGGGGTTCAGGGAAACTGGCAGGCCGGACTTGAGTCCTGGAGCTGGGAAGTACAGTGCCTGCACTCTGAAGGAGGGGTTTTAATGTTGCAGTTTAAAAACTAGTGTAAAGCATCCTTCTGGCAAGACAGTGATGGAGTGAATGATGGTGAAAGTTTTTCTTTTTCAGGCCACCCTGCCTTGGTGGGAATCGGCCAGTGTGATAATAAAAAAACATAAAAAAATAATAGTAAATAAGAAAATTAGATAAGGTGACTTATGCTTACTAGTAAAATCACAAAATGAGGTAGTTGATTATTTAATTACTAAGAGATTGTACTACGAGATTTGAACAATAATGGAGCAAAGCATACACTACATTATGTAGGCTTTTAGGTTGGACATTTAGTTATTCTCTGTAAGATCAGTATCCCTGAGAAATCGTGATAGATCATTCTCGTTCGTGATTGTGTACAGTTTGACCTACATTTTTTTTCCTAACAATAATTTTCCCATCCAGGTGAAGCATTGGTGTATTGTGTCATTATTCTCCGCTAAATTTTCTGACTCTATACAGGAGGTTCTGACGTTTTTTGGTAAGACACTCGTTTATGTATACCTCTTTCTTTACTTTAATAGATGCAATAATTAAGTCTTTTTTCCTATCATGTGAGTGGAATCTAAGCATAACACTTTTTCTACCATGGGATCCTAGTAACCTGGCTTCTTTTATTTCTGACTCTGGTACAATAACACTTGTTTGGTCCTTTATGATCTGCAGAGTAATTTCTTTACTGTTTGTTAGTTTGTTTGGTAGCAGAGCAGGAGTTGCGCAAATTAACATTAAGATCGACAACACTCTAATTGCCAGACATAATGAGGGCAAATTCCTAGGCCTATTCCTCGACAACAACCTAAATTTCAGCACCCATATCCAACACATAACAAAAAAGTATCCAAAACGGTGGGGATCCTCTCCAAGATACGATACTACGTGCCGCAAACTGCCCTTCTAACACTATACCATTCACTTATATATCCATACCTCACCTATGCTATCTGTGCTTGGGGTTCAACTGCAGCAACACACCTAAAGCCAATAATAACTCAACAAAAAGCCGCAGTAAGAATAATCACTAAATCCCATCCCTGGCAACCCCCCCCCCCCACTCTCTTCATTGATCTAAACTTACTCCCTGTTCAGAACATTCACACTTACTACTGTGCAATCTATATCTACAGGACCTTAAATTCCAATATTAACATTGACCTAAAATGCTTTCTTGATAGTTGTGACAGGATCCACAGGCATAACACCAGACACAAACATCTCTATGACATTCCCCGAGTTCGACTAAACCTTTACAAAAATTCAATGTATTTCAAAGGACCTAAAATCTGGAACACCCTACCTGAAAACTCGAGAACTGCAGACACATTCATCACTTTCAAAACTACAGTTAGAAAACATCTTATCTCCCTGATACACCCCGACAACTAACTACATGATAACCACCTTGTGATTCACAATTACACTCACTCACCCACTGACTATAAACCCAGAAATACTAATCTTAATCTTAAAATAATAAATCCTAACTAGTCATAAGTTTGCCTATGATACTCCAATATAGACACTTTGTATTGTGCCAAAACAAAAGCATTCACATTGCTAAACTCACAAATTATGATGTAGTCACTTAGCCGTAATACCATAATCTGTAAGGATTTAATGTTAAGAATTAATCTAAGTCTGCTCGAAATGCCTTGCCATGCTAGGTGTCCTAGTGGCCCCCTCTGTAATTAGTATTTTATAACATGTAAACCACAAAATACCCAAAACCTGTTAACTCCACATTGTAACCATTATAGAGAATAAACTTGAATTGAATTGAATAATACACCCCCATACCCATTATGTGCCTGTAATTTTTTTTGACCTGCCTATAGGATAGGTTTGAGGATCATAACTCATCTTTGAAACTAACAAGCTTCCTTGCCTCCACAGAAGTGGAACAAGAAGAGCTGAGGGAAGCTGGTTTTCCCTTGATGGGCTGCATCAATTACCTCTCTCCCCACTTCACCGAGAACAATGAGAAGAATGATTGGGTGCAGAGTAAGTCAGGGTCTGTCTCTATCACTTCCTCTTGCTCTCACAGCAACAACAAGAATGACTGGGTGACGAGTAAGTCAAAGCTTCCTCTGCCTCTTCCTCCTTCCTTGTGCTTACTTCCTTAATAATAATGAAATAGTCATTAATGCTAAGTTCATGTGGTTTCATTTTGATGTATGTATGTATTTGTGTATATATATTATATATATATATATATTTTATATATATACAATATATATATTTTTATATAATATATATTTATATATATAAATTTATATATATATATATTTTATATATATATATATTTATATATTATATTTTTATATATATTTTATATTTATATATATATATAATATTTATATAAATATATATATATAAAATATATATATATATATTTATATATTATATATATATATATATATATTATTATATATAAAGTCAATATGCAAAATAACCACATTTGAAAAAATAGCCAAGTTCTCAGTGCTTTCGTGATTCCTACCATTATGAAGGATAATGTAAGAAATCGTGAAAGCACTTGGAATTTCAAATGTAAGAAATCATGAAAGCACTCAGAAAATTTCAACGTTTTTTCAATATGGTTGTTTTGCATATTGTGATAACACCTGTTTACTGTGATCTTATTTTGCATATAAGAACAAGTGCATGTAACATCTGTTAGAATCAACATTATAATAGTTTCCTTGTTTATTCTTAGTGTCTGCTGGTGCTCCCATAATACTGTGCTAGTACCAAAATGAGTAGCACTGTGCAGTAGTAGTATCTACCAATATGCAGTAAAGCCTGCTTGTCCATGTGTAGTAGGTACCATGTGTTCCCAGCATAGCAGAAGTTTGTAGTAACATCACTTCCTGTAGAGGTTCATTAACCTTTTCTTTCCCTTCCTTTCATCCCTTTGCTTCATCAGCAACACTGTTTGCAGCTCTTTAATCACTATTACACCCTACAAGTGTTTCTACAACCTCCACTGCTGTTTCTACCACCTTCACAAGTATTTCTACCTCCTCCATTCTACTAGCACCTCCATCCGCCCCACTAGTGCTTCTAAAACTCTACTCCACTGCACCTCCATGTTTACCATTATCAGTTTTTAATCTACCTCCACTCCACCAGCACCTCCACCTCTATTACTGCTTCTACCACTATCTCCCCTCAAGGGAGGTTCCTTGTTGCTGGTGAGGGGCTCTTGATCTAGGGAATTGGATCTGTGCTCCAGTTCCCTGAATTGAGCCTGAATACCTTACATGCCCCCCTCCACATGCACTCTAATCCTACAGGTTTAGTGCTTCCCCATGATTATATTTATGTAATCTACCACTACCTCCACACTCAATAAGGGTGTGGTCCTTTATGATGATGATCAGGTGATATTACGAAGGATTGTTCTTGGCTAGGCACTAAAATAGTCCTTCCATCTGTAGCAGCTCAACATAGCAGCTCTGTGGGCACTAATGTTTCCTCATACTCTATGTAGAGAAAGGCTCAGCAGTTCCTTCTTTATGGTTTTTGTTATCTCTCATGAATATAATGATCATACATACATAAATACAGTAATATGATATTACAAGGACTCCAATGGAAAATAGTCACTTTGATTTTTTTTTTTTTTTTTTGGGGGGGGGGGTTTTTCCTAGCCAATCTAACATATGTTACAATCTTTAATAATTTGTGTAACTGTATTTGTGTGTACCTGTGCCTAAATAAACTTAATTAACTCAGAGAGGGAAGTGTCTGGCTCTGAGCAGAAGTCAGGTGGACTGGGGTTCTACTGACTTCTGCACAGGTCTTGATGGAGTCCAGGCAGGAATCTTGCTCAACTCTAGCCTTGACCGTCATTGACAACTTTTCCCAGTTTTCTTTCCCTAGAAGTTGATCATCATTAGCCCTCCAGGCAGCTAATTGGTCAGGGCTCCATACTTCAGCTCCTGGGCCTAACATGTTGCTAACTCAAGGGAAGGAGGAGTGAGTGTATGACTGAGGTGGTGTTTAGGCAAGGAGGTCCCCTGACTTAATTGAGAACTTATTGTTTCCAGTTAGTCCTGTATTTGAGTCCTTTATAACTTCTGCCCACATTTAAGCAACACATTTTTATTTTCCAAACTCCCGGGAAGTAGGACTTAGTATGATGCAAGCTTTGATGAATAGTGCTCATCCTGTGAGCAGAGTGAGGTTCCATAAAGGTCAGTACTGGAACCAGTACTGTTTCATTCGTGTGTAACAACATGCCAGAATTCAAGTCAGAAGTATCCCTGTTCGCAGATGATGTGAAACTAATGAGGAGAATACAAACAGAAGCAGACCAGGAAAAGCTACAAATGGATCTGGACAAGCTATTAGAGTGTAAATGCAAAATAATGAAAATTGGGGAAGAGCAGAGAAGACAGGAAACAGATTACACACCAAAACCAATACTGCTACTACTGCTTTCACTGTTGTATTTACCTCTTTTCAACTGAAGAACTCTGTTGTACAGGTGAAAAGTTTTGGCAGTAAAAATACCCAAGTGTTGCAAATGTGTCTTATCAAGTTGATGGTATTGCATAATATCAGTAATATAGTATTTCTCCATCTATCTCTAATACCTTTGCTAACATCCTGGTAGTACTTAACACCCTCTCTATCTTGCCTTTCCCAGAGCATCCATATGCATGCATTAACTTTGCATCCCACGCACTTGCAATCCACATGCATGGTTACTAGAATTTTTTATTTTATTTATAACTTTACAACCTGTATGTATGCAGCACACTTTTGCACTGCTACATGTATGCATCACACCTTTGCACCCCAACCTGTATGCTCCATACCTTTGCACCCCACATGTATGCATCACACCTTTGCACACCAACCTGTATGCACCACATCTTTGCACCCCCACATGTATGCACCACCTTTGTACCCCTACATGTATGCATCACACCTTTGCACCCTCACATGTATGCACTTGAGACCTTAGCAAGCAACATCTTTGTAGCCAACATGTGGTCATGGTGGTATCTCGACAGGAATGCAAAATCTGAGCATCTCGTGTGCCCTGGTGTGCTGTATCCTTCTGGGGGCATCTGCTGTCGTGGGCACCTTTGGCATCATCCAGAGGCAGATCTCGGCTGTCCTCATCACTGGTGTCATGTACATTCTGGCATGTGAGTCACAACCATCCACTTGTCCATAGTGTTCATTCTTCAAATTCATATTGAATTTTTTTTATTTTTTTTCTGCACTAACAGGTAATGTAGTTTACATGCAATACAATATTGTTAAGCACAAAAGAAAGGCACTAACATGTGGTGCATTTCAGGCAGAATAATCCTAGTGTTTAAAGAATACTTAAGAACTAAACATGGGTTATTAACCCTTTCAGGATTGGTGCTGTACTAGTACGGCTTACGTGCCAGGGTTGGTGCCGTACTAGTACGCATAAATTCTAGTGCCTTCATATCTAGCGAGAGGAAGCTGGTAGGCCTACATATGAAAGAATGGGTCTATGTGGTCAGTGTGCACAGTATAAAAAAATCCTGCAGCACACAGTGCATAATGAGAAAAAAAAACTCCAACCATGTTTTTGCTTTAAAACAGCGACTTTGCTGTGTATTTTCGTGTGCTATTTATGGTGGTATTCTAGTTTTCCTGGTCCCATTTTATAGAATGGAAGACATATTACAGAAATTGATATGATTTTGATTGGTTTCACAATGAAAAGTACCTTGAAATTGAGCTCAAAGTAGCAGAAATGTTCGATTTTTGACAAAGTTCAGAAGTAAACAAATCGTGCCATGCGTCCAATACACGTCAACTGGTGAGTCTAATATTCTTTCACAAGTGCGCTGATATTATTTATACCATTTCTACACTAATGCAGTAGTCTGCATAACAGTAAGTCTTCTATATTTTTGCGAGAATAAAAATTCAAAGTGGAAAGCAAAAGAAATGCAAAAGAGGCCTGGGGACATGACTAATGAACAGAAAAAAATGTTATTTTAGTGCCAGGAATGTCTTTCTTGTTTATTTTGGACCCTATTTGGAAATTGGCATCTTTTGAAATTTGTGTGAAATTTGCAAAATTGCCAATTTCTGACCTCTTTATTGGATAGTTGAAATTGGTAAATGGGTGGTTTCTTGTACTCATTCGATAGAAAAAATGGAGTTCTAGCAAAATAGTTATGATTTTTGTAGACCGGTACATTGGAATTGGCTGAAAATAGGGCTCAAAGTGGGCGAAATCGCCAATGCGTAAACATCGTTGAGACTGCTAACTTCGCGAGAGCATAATTCCGTACGTTTGCCATCAAATTTCATACTTTTGGTGTCATTATGATCGAGAAAAGATTCTCTATCATTTCATGAGAAAAAAAAATCATTTTTTTTTTCCGACCCTGAGAACAAGTTTAGGAGAGGGCCTGCCGACCCTGAAAGGGTTAAGTAGGTGTTCTTCAAATGTACAAAAAGAGTGGTAGCTAAATGAACAATGGCTCAATTTTTAAAGTATGCATTAATATTTCAAACTGATTCAGTGGTTTTCAGTCAAGTATGATTTCTTAAGTAAGCAAGCAGTTAACTGCTATTTCATTCACAATAAAAGGTAGTAAATGTATGAGATGTATACTATTAACCCTTTCAGGGTTTCGGACGTACTAGTACGGCTTACACACCAGGGTTTTTGACGTACTAGTACGCCTAAATTCTAGCGCCCTCAAATCTAGTGAGAGAAAGCTGGTAGGTGTACATATGAAAGAATGGGTCTATGTGGTCAGTGTGCGCAGTATAAAAAAAATCCTGCAGCACACTGTGCGTAATGAGAAAAAAGAAACTTTGACCGTGTTTTTGGATTAAAACAGCGACTTTGCACTGTATTTTTCGTATGGTATTTATTGTTGTATTCTAGTTTTCCTGGTCTCATTCTATAGAATGGAAGACATATTACAAAAATTGAGATGATTTTGACTGATTTACAATGATAAGTACCTTGAAATTGAGCTCAAAGTAGCAGAAATGTTCGATTTTTGCCAAAATTCAAAAGTAAACAAATCATGCTAAGCGTCCAATACACGTCAACTGGTGAGTCTAATATTCTTTCGCAAGTGCGCCGATATTATTTATACCATTTTTTACGCTAATGCAGTGGTCTGCATAACAGTAAATCAGGCTCTGGTGGCCTGGTGGCTAACGCTCTCGCTTCACACGGCGAGGGCCTGGGTTCGATTCCCAGCCAGAGTAGAAACATTGGGCGTGTTGTTTTTCCACCTGTTGTCTATGTTCCCCATCAGTAAAATGGGTACCTGGGTGTCAGTTGACTGGTGTGGGTCGCATCCTGGGACACTGACCTAATTTGCCCGACATGCTGAGCATAACAAGGGATTGTCTATATAGTAGTATGTCATTGTTATCAGCTAGGCCTGTGTACCATGTACATGTACTTGTAGTAAATAAAGATTATTATTATTATTATTATTGTGAGAATAAAAATTCCAAGTGGAAAGCAAAAGAATGTAAGAGGGGCATTGGGACGTGACTAATGAAAAGAGGAAATGTCACTTTAGTGCCAGGAATGTCTTTCTTGTTTATTCTGGACCCTATTTAGAAATTGGCATCTTTTGAAATTTGTGTGAAATTGGCAAAATAGCTAAATTTTGACCACACTATTGGATAGTTGAAATCGGTAAATGAGTGGTTTCTTGCACTCATTCGATAGAAAAAATGGAGTTCTAATGAAATATTCATGATTTTTGTCAACTAGTACAGTGGAATTGGCCGAAAATAGGGCTCAAAGTGGGCAAAATCACCGATGCGTAAACATCGTCGACTGCTAACTTCACGAGAGCATAATTCCGCAAGTTTTCCATCAAACTTCATACTTTTGGTGTCATTATGATCGGGAAAAGATTCTCTATCTTTTCATAAGATTTTTTTTTTTTTTTTTTTTTTTTAAATTTGGGCGACCCTGAGAACAAGTCTCTGAGAGGGCCTGTTGACCCTGAAAGGGTTAAGTATATACAAATAATATTGAGCATATAATGAATGTACAGTGGACCCTTGGTTATCGGCCGTAATCCGTTCCAGAATGTCGGCTGATAACCGAAATGGCCGAAAACCGAATTAATATTTCCCATAAGAATTAATGGAAATACAGTTAATCAGTTTCAGACAAAAAATATTCACAAAAAAAAAAAAATTTTTTTTTAACAATTATGTAAGTATTACATACCTTTATTGAAGCCAGCAATAAAGGTATGTAATGCTTATCTTCCAGAAGCCAGCTAATGCTGGCTTCTGGAAGATAGGGAAGAGGAAAGAGGGAGGAGTTAGTGTTTGGAAGGGGAATCCCCCTCCATAAAGACTTTAGGTAGCAAAGCCTTCTCTGGGGTTACTTCCCTTCTTTGTCTTTTAATGCTACTAGGACCAGCTTGAGAGTCACTGGACCCCTGCCTCACAACAAATCTGTCCATAGAGGTCTGTTTCTGGCATCTCTAAGATTTCCCTGAAGTGGGACAGGGTTTTGTCACCGAACATGTTGCAGATATGGCTTGTTTCAGCTTGGTCAGGGTGGTGTTTCTCTACAAAAGCTTGCACCCTAGTCCACATTGCACACACCTCTTTAATCTGTCATTTACTACTACAGTACAGGTCTCCCTCAACATTCACGTTTTCAGCTTTCGCGGGCTTCACACATTCACGAATTCCCAACCGCCAAATTCCCAGCCACCAAATTCCCAGCCGCCAAATTATATTCAAGTTTCCCCCCGTCCCTACTACCCTTCCACCGACCCCCGCAACTGGCAGCCAGCTCCCACCACTCAGTGTGGTGAGTGTTTTGTTTGTTCATTATGTGCTATTAAACTACAGTATAAATAATGTAAACCCATTCATGACTGCATATTGCAATGGCTATTCGGACAGGTATTAGACGGTGACATCATGTGTTTACTCTTGAACACAGCAAAGAATCAAACATTTCTGCTACTGCTAATAATAAGAATAGTAATAATAATAATAATAATAATAATAATAAATACGATATAATTGAAGAAGGAAGTAGTACAAAAATACGAGGGAGTGGTTGACACATCGTCAGTGTGGCTTTGTTTATGCTGGAGTGAACATTAGTCTCCCTGCTCTTCCAAACATTTCACAATAATTCATTGTGTTTGGTGCTTGTAGATTGAGTGTGACTGGAGTGGTAGAGGCAGTGGTTGAGGCAGCTGTTGAGGCAGCGATTGAGGCAGTGGTTGAGGCAGCGATTGAGGCAGTGGGTGAGGCTGCTGTTGAGGCAGCGATTGGGGCAGTGGTTGAGGCAGCGATTGAGGCAGCTGTTGAGGCAGCGATTGAGGCAGTGGTTGAGGCAGCTGTTGAGGCAGCGATTGAGGCAGTGGGTGAGGCAGCTGTTGAGGCTGCTGTTGAGGCAGCGATTGAGGCAGTGGGTGAGGCAGCTGTTGAGGCTGCTGTTGAGGCAGCGATTGAGGCAATGGTTGAGGCAGCTGTTGAGGCAGCGATTGAGGCAGTGAGTGAGGCAGCTGTTGAGTGCTGTTGAGGCAGCAATTGAGGCAGTGGGTGAGGCAGCTGTTGAGGCTGCTGTTGAGGCAGCGATTGAGGCAGTGGTTGAGGCAGCTGTTGAGGCAGCGATTGAGGCAGTGGGTGAGGCAGCTGTTGAGGCAGCAATTGAGGCAGCTGTTGAGGCAGCTGTTGAGGCAGTGGGTGAGGCAGCTGTTGAGGCAGCGATTGAGGCAGTGGGTGAGGCAGCTGTTGAGGAAACGATTGAGGCAGCTGTTGAGGCAGCGATTGAGGCAGTGGGTGAGGCAGCTGTTGAGGCAGTGGGTGAGGCAGCTGTTGAGGGCGTTGAGGCAGTGGGTGAGGCAGCTGTTGAGGCAGCGATTGAGGCAGTGGGTGAGGCAGCTGTTGAGGCAGTGGGTGAGGCAGCTGTTGAGGCAGCGATTGAGGCAGTGGGTGAGGCAGCTGTTGAGGAAGCGATTGAGGCAGTGGGTGAGGCAGCTGTTGAGGCAGCGATTGAGGCAGTGGATGAGGCAGCGATTGAGGCAGTGGATGAGGCAGCTGTTGAGGAATAGCATAGCAGTTGAGGCAGTGGTATTTAATAACATACATGTTATTAATAATAATAATACATGTTATTAATAATATGTACTATTATTATTTATAACATATATGTTATTAAATACCACTGCCTCAACCGCTGAATTATCATGAAATGTTTGGAAGAGCAGGGAGACCTACGCTCACTCCAGCATAAACAAAGCCACACTGACGATGTGTCAACCACTCCCTCGTATTTTTGTACAATTTCCTTCTTCATTTATATTGTATTATTATTATTATTATTATTATTATTATTATTATTATTATTATTATTACTATTGTTATTATTAGCAGTAGCAGAAATGTTTGATTCTTTGCTGTGTTCAAGAGTAAACGCATGATATCACCGTCTAGTACCTGTCCGAATAGCCATTGCAATATGCAGTCATGAATGGGTTTACATTATTTATACTGTAGTTTAATAGCAAATAATGAACAAACAAAACACCCACCACACTGAGTGGTGGGAAGACTGGCTGCCAGTTGCGGGGGTCGGATGGAGGGTAGTAGGGACTCACAGTGGTTGGGGAAGTGGTGGAGGCAGTGGTGGAGTCTGTGGTATTTAATAACATACATGTTATTAAAGCATAACGTGTATATATTTAGTACAATTTACGACATTTTCATGTATTTTATGATTGTTCATGGTTCAACAAGTTAAGGAAGCAGTATTGTATTATATTCCCCTACAATATATTGGGGGCACCAAACTTTCACGGTTTTTCAACATTCGCAAGGCTCTTGATCCCCTAACCCTCGCGAATGTTGAGGGAGACCTGTATATTCATTACTAACCTTAAAATATTTGTAGTCTTAATGTAGGGCAAGAGGTGAGTAGTATTTATTTGTAGGAAGTCCGTGTAGGTAGCAGTAGATGTAGGTACAGTACACATATGTAGCCCCCCCCAGGGCTACACTACACAGCTATATTACACTACACAGCTATATTATTACACTACACAGCCATATTATTACCATGTTCACTGAGTTTAATTGTTTTTAACAACTACCTTTAGATGCCATCATAAACAAAGGGAGAAGTAATGAATAATTCATGCCAAGAATTGTAATGAAATGCATATGAAGGGTGGTTACTGCACCAGTCACCAGATTCACAGTTTTCTCTAATGCTGCATCAGAGAAAATGTAATGTTTACTCTCCATCCCGCTCTCCACTCGATAACATATAAACATTGCATGTTTATATGTTAAACATTGCATGTTTATATGCTACATGATATGTAACGTGTTTCTTATAATTTTGAAGAAATCATAGATGGATTAATGAAAATGTCTATATTAATGTAAAATAAGACATTTAATGTACCAGTGATTATTATTAAATATACATCGCATATAAACATTGCATGTTTTCCTATACTATGTAGCGTGTTTCTTTGGGCCCATGGTTGCTTGTTTTGCAGTTGTACTAGATCAATAACTACAAAAAACAATGGATTATAACAAAATGTTTGGATGAATCAGCAGAAGCTTCCTCACTCGCCCAGAGACAAAGCCAAACTGACTTGCAAGCGGCCCCAGCCGGCGGATGGATGCCTCCCAAATGGCCGATAACCGAATTAACAGCCGATAACCGGGCGCCAAAAAACCGGCCGATAACTGAGTTGGCCGATGACTGAACCGGCCGATAACCGGTGGTCCACTGTACATGTATGTCCATTAAATATATCTTTGTACATGATTCTAGGAAAAATGATTTGGGTTATAGTCTAGAAAGTTTGCAGGTATAATTTTTTTACATTAAATGGCAGTCAATTTCAATTTCAATTTATTTATTTCAGCATGATACAATGTTTGTACAGAGATGGATGACATTTAGTTGTGCATGCAGAAGGCCCCTTAGTATACAGAGCATTTCTTGGATTATCCTGGGTGGCTAACCCTCTGGGTTAAAAATCCAAACCAGTCTTATCTTATCTTACAGCCACATTTGGACTCTTCTGCCTGACTATCATGCACTTCAAGAGGAAGACCAAGAAAGACTGTGGCATTCTTGACTCTCAGGTAAGTTATTATACACATTAGCTTAATCCTCTTTACTTTTTCTTCATAAAAGTAACATTTATGAAGGGATTCAGGGAAATTGGTTAGTAAGAAGTGAGGTGGGAAGTACAGTGCCTGTGCTCTGAAGGAGGGGTGTTGATATGTTGCAGTTTTTTAACTGTAGTATAGGCATGCATCTGGCAAGACAGTGATAGTACGAATGATTATGAAAGTGTTTCTTCTTTTTTGGGTCACCCTGCTTTGGTGGCAAATGGCTGATCTTTCTTTCAACAAACCGGCTGTATCCCACCGAGGCAGAGTGACCCGAAAAGAAAAACAAGTCTCTCTTTTTAACTTTAGTCACCTCTTATGACACGCATGGCTTACTGAGGAAGAATTCTGTTCCACTTCCCCATGGAGATAAGAAGAAATAAGAAAAAGAACAAGTAAGAAAATACAGTGGTCCCTCAATAATCGTCCGGCCTGAAAGTCGTCCATTTCAGAAATACAGTGGTCCCTCGTTTTTCATAGTTCTCGGGAATCATAGATTTCGGAAATCATAGGGATATTTTCGTATAAACATGGGCTCACTAATCATAGGTTGACTCGCGAATAGTAGTTCGTCCGGGACGCGTACGCACGGTATGAGCCAGGGCGGCCTCCCTACCCAGCCAGTCTGGCATTGTTTACCAGTGAGCGAAGGTCCCCTCACGTGCTCCTATGAAATATTTCATAATATTCCACTCGTTTTAGTGCTTGAAAGTACTAAATAAGCTACCATGGCTCCAAAGAAAGCTCCTAGTGCCAAGCCTGTGGTAAAGAAGGTGAGAAATACGATTGAATTTTAGAAAAACATCATTGAACAATATGAAAGTGGCACAAGTGGAAAGATTTATGGAGAAACATCACCCTGACAAGGTTGTTGCAAGCCATGTTGGCAACATGTACAGTGCCAAAGTCTTGGGCCATTTTAGGGAAGTGTTAAAGAGACGCCAGAAACAGAGCTCTCTCCACAGTTATTTTGCGAGACAGGACTCCAGTGACTCTCAAGCTGGTCCTAGTGGCAATAAGAAACAGAGAAGAGAAGCAACCCCAGAAAAGCAATTGGTACCTGAGGTGTTGCTGGAAGAGGATTCCCCTTCCAAACTGTAAACAATCCGATCTCTCTCCTCCAGTCTCCCATACACTAAGAAGAATCTCCAATAAAGGTAAGTGTTATGCTGTTAATGTTTCATTCATCATTTCCCATTGTATTATTTATGTACTACATCTATATATCATGTAAAAAATTTTTTTGTTTTAATACTTCTGGGTGTCAGGAACGGATTAATTATATTTACATTATTTCTTATGGGGAAAATTGATTCGAAAATCGTAGATTTCGATAGTAGTAGCAACTCCAGGAACGGATTAACTAAGAAAAATGAGGGACCACTGTAGTCCTGTTTTTTCGTCAAAATATTGGCTCGCAAATGGTCCGGTAACTCGCTAATAGTCCTTCGCCCCGGACGCTTACTCACGCTCTGAGCCGCCTCAGCCTTTCCTTCCCAGCCAGTGTGCCATTGTTTACCAGTGAGCGACGGTCCCCTCATGTGCTCCAGCGAAATATTTCATAATATTCCATTTATTTTAGTGCTTGCAAGTTATTTAAGTGCTAAATAAGCTACCATGGCTCCAAAGAAAGCTCCTAGTGCCAAGCCTTTGGTAAAGAAGGTGAGAAATACGATTGAATTTAAGAAAAACATCATTGAACAATATGATAGTGGCGTACGTGTGGGCGAACTGGCCAGGATGTATAACAAATCCCGTACAACCATATCTTCCATCATAGCCAAGAAAAAGGAAATAAAATATGCTGTTGTTGCAAAGGGGGTAAATATGCTAACAAAAATGAGATCACCAGTACTCAAAGATGTTGAGAAGTTATTATTGGTGTGGATAAATGAGAAACAATTAGCAGGAGATAGTCTTATGACGTCGCTTATTTGTGAAAAGGCTAGGCAGTTGCATGACGATTTGGTAAAGAAATTGCCTGCAACTAGTGGTGATGTGAGTGAATTTAAGGCCGGCAAAGGCTGGTTTGAGAAATTTAAGAAGCGTACTGGCATACACAGTGTGGTAAGGCATGGTGAGGCTGCCAGTTCGGACCACAAGGCGGCTGAAAAATATGTGCATGAATTCAAGGAGTACATAAACAGTGAAGGACTGAAACCTGAACAAGTGTTCAGTTGTGATGAAACAGGCCTCTTTTGGAAGAAAATGCCAAAGAGGACCTACATTACTCAGGAAGAAAAGGCGCTGCCAGGACACAAGCCTATGAAAGACAGGCTGACGCTAATGTTCTGTGCTAATGCTAGTGGGGATTTCAAAGCGAAGCCGTTACTAGTGTACCATTCTGAAAATCCCAGAGTGTTCAAGAAAAACATTGTTATGAAGAGTAAATTGTGTGTTTTGGAGATCTAATAATAAGGCATGGGTCACGAGGGACATTTTTGTCGAGTGGTTCAATGAAGTGTTTGGCCCTAGTGTGAAGAATTACCTCCTGGAAAAGAAATTGGATCTCAAGTGCCTCCTAGTAATGGACAATGCACCTGCTCATCCTCCAAACTTGGATGACCTAATTCCGAAGGAGTTTGGGTTCATCACAGTAAAGTTCTTGCCCCCGAATACCACTCCTTCTCCTCCAGCCCATGGACCAGCAGGTCATTGCAAACTTTAAAAAACTCTACACCACAGCAATGTTTGAAAGGTGCTTAAATGTGACCTCAGACACTCACTTGACCCTACGAGATTTTTGGAAAGAACACTTCAGTATTCTCCATTGCGTAAGCCTTATAGGTAAGGCTTGGGAGGGAGTGACTACCAGGACTTTGAACTCTTCTTGGAGAAAATTGTGGCCAGATTGTGTCTACAAGAGGGATTTTGAAGGGTTTGGGGCTGACCCTGATGAGCCTATGTCAGATGTTAAATCCATTGTGGCACTGGGGAGTTCCATGAGGTTGGATGTGAGTTTGGAGGATGTGGAAGAGTTGGTTGAGGACCACAACGAAGACCTAACCACTGAGGAGCTGCAAGAGCTTCAGCAGGAAGAGCAACAGATTCGCAGCTCAGAATCTTGCTGCAGATGAGGAGGAAGAGAGATGGAGGAAGGTGCCTTCTTCAGAAATTAAGGAGATTTTTGAAATGTGGGGTAGGATGGAAAGATTTATGGAAAAACATCACCCAGAGAAGGATGTTGCAAGCCATATCGGCAACTTGTATAGTGACAGAGTCTTGGCCCGTTTTAGGGAAGTTTTAAAGAGACGCCAGAAACAGAGCTCTCTGGACAGTTTTTTTGTGAGACAGGACTCCAGTGACTCTCAAGGTGGTCCTAGTGGCATTAAGAAACAGAGAAGAGAAGTAACCCCAGAAAAGCAATTGGTACCCGAGGTGTTGATGGAAGGGGATTCCCCTTCCAAACAGTAAATCATCCAATCTGTCTCCTCCTCCAGTCTTCCGTACACAAAGAAGAATCACCAATAAAGGTAAGTGTTATTCTGTTAATGTTTAATTCATCATGTGCCATTGTATTGTTTATGTACTGCATCTATATGTCATGTAAAAGAATTTTTTGTTTTAATACTTCTGGGTGTCAGGAATGGATTAATTGAATTTACATTATTTCTTATGGGGAAAATTGATTCGTAAATCGTCCATTTCGATAATAGTCCCACTTCCAGGAACGGATTATGGATGATTATTGAGGGACCACTGTACAAGAAAACCCAGAGGGATGTCTATGTACATGTATATGTAGTGTGACCTAAGTGTAAGTAGACGTAGCAAGACACCTGAAATCTTGCATGTTTATTAGAAAGAAAAAAGACACCAGCAATCTTACCATCATGTAAAACAATTACAGGCTTCCGTTTTACACTCGCTTGGCAGGACAGTGGTACCTCCCTGGGCAGTTGCTGTCCACCAACCTACTACTTTGGAGAAACGGCCGATGTGTTAATAAAAAAAAAGTTGTAATAGTGCTGGTAGAATTACCAACAATATGTAAAGTAAAAGGACATAAGTGCAACTAATGTGACATTTTATTGTGGCAACGTTTCGCTCTCCAGGAGGTTTGTCAAGCCATTACAAACAGTACATGGACACACACAGTATATATAGGCTCAGAGTGAGGTGCAACACTAGTGGTGGTAGTAGTAGTAGTGACAAGTTGTAATAGTAGAAGTAATACAATATGGTAGAGCAGTTAACTCGCACATGAGTAAAAGGATATAAAAGTTATTACTTGGGTAACAAAAAAAAATAGGTTAGACAAATATAGACTGGATAGAGAAGGCCTGCTTCTCCGCTCATATGCCGTATTCTTTTCAAGATTGATGGACTGAACACATCGAGGGACTGATTACCTCATTCTCCTCCTGTTCAAGTTTCTCCTACGTATGGACTGATGAAGCCACTGTGTGGCGAAACGTTTCCTCAATAAAGATACCCAAGAGTTGCACATATGTCTAATTTATCAGCTTTGTGTAGTATTAACAGGAGAGACTGTGATGGCAGGGTTTACTGTTTTCAGGAGGATTCTTGCTAAGACTTCAGAGGTGTTGAAGCTGCCTTCGTTTTGTTTAATTGTATTCAGTACAGCGATTACTGCTGATTCAAGGCACCTCCGTCTGCGGAAATTAGTTTCTTTGATCACTAATTGGGTGTCCCTGAATTTCATGAGATGATTGGTGGAATTTCGGTGTTGTACACAGGCGTTGTTCAAGTTATCGTTCCTATATGCGTAAATGTGTTCATTGAGGCGGGTGTCAAGGTTTCTTGCTGTTTCACCTACATAAATCTTGTTGCAGCCTCCACAAGATATAATGTAAACCCATGCATTGACTGGTTCGTGGTGCTTTGATTTTGTCCTGGTTAGATCCTTTATTGAAGTGTTGGAAGTGATGGCGACTCTGGTGTTAGCTTGTGAAAGTACTTAAGAAACGTTCAGTGCAACCTGGCTATTGGGAAGAATTATAACTTTGTTGGGAGTGGTGTTGGTGTGTGGAGAATTAAGGATCTGAAGAGCTCTTTTCTTGCAGTCTTTGATGAAAAAGGAAGGAAAATGTAACTCGGTGAAGGTTTGGTGAATGTATGTACATTCCTCGTCAAGAAACTCAGGACTACAAATTCGGTATGCTCTTTGGAAAAACCTGATGATGCCTCTTTTGGTCTTAATATCTTGACTGGAATAGAAGTGTGTGAGATCATTTTTATTGGTAGGTTTCCGGTAAACTTGAAATCTTAGGTTGTTGTCTGCTTTGTGAATGAGGACGTCGAGGAAAGGTAGCTTGTCATTGGTCTCTTCTAGTGTAAACTGGATTGCTGGTTCAACTGCGTTGAGCCTTGCCTGAAGATTCCGTACATCAAAACGTTTGGGAGTTATTACGAGGACATCGTCCACGTAACGTAACCAAGTGACGCTTGAAGGGATGATGTTGGCGAAGTGTTCGGACTCTAGGTGTTCCATGTATAAGTTGGCTAGGACGGCACTGATGGGGGACCCCATTCCCATGCCATAAGTTTGTTTGTAGAGCCTGTTATTGAAAGAAAAACAGTTGAAATTAACACCGAGTTCAACCCTAAGTCAACAAAATCTCTGGGAGGTAGAGGAAGATTAAGGTCCTGATTGATTTTATGTCGTAGAACCTCGATGGCTTTTGTGGTAGGTACTTCTGTGAAGAGGGAAGTCATGTCCAGACTGCTTAGTTTCTTGTTACGGATGGAGAGGTTTCGGATGCGGTTGAGAAGATCGCCTGAATGTTTAAGATGATTGTATTACTTCTACTACTACAACTTAAGTCACTACTACTACTACTACTACCACTAGTATTGCACCTCACTCTGAGCCTATGTATACCCTCTGTGTCCATGTACTGTTTGTAATGGCTTGACAAAGCTCCTGGAGAGCAAAACATTGCCACAATAAAATGTTACATTAGTTGCACTTGTGTCTTTTACTTTACAAAAAAAAAAGTTATAAATTAGTTTACCAGTCATTCTCAGTATTAGTGTATTGTATAGTCAGTGTACTTCTGGTCAGACTGACATGTCGTAAGTACAGGTTTCTAGTTTGTACAAGTTAATACTCTTGAGCTATAAGGGTCTACACATATGATGGTAATGATTACAGGAAGTTGTAGGATTTATAGGATAAAGGTACTTTATTTCAGCATGATAAAATGTTTGTACAAAGGTGAATTACATTTAGGTGTGCATGCCAAAAGCCCCTTAATATGCAGAGCATTTCTATGAAGCACTTTGTCTTATAAGATCCTTCAGGGTAATTAAGGATGCACAAATGACCCTCACATAGGTGACAAACTTACAACAATGTTTCAGTCCCACTTAAACCTTTAAATAGTCCTGTGACTAGTTAATGCTCCAAGTGGGACCAGAACGTCTTCGTAAGTTACAGTCTTGTATGTAGGGTATTTGTGTATTATTCTAGTCATGGTATTGTGACTATTTATTCTTTAATTAAGGATAGAATGTGACATACAACCATCCACATTTAACTACAATCATGGGAGATAAGACGGGGATGTACCATTGAAAGACAAATATTAATAAAGGAGATTTAAGTAAGGTGCTGAGGATATTTAACAGAGAAATAACTGAAAACAATGGACTCAAATTGGGTAAATTTGAATTTATTAAAGATATAAGAAATATTCTTTACAAATATCTTGGCAGTAGACAAGACTGATTGAATGAATGATGGTTAATGTATTTTCTCTGTTTTGGGGGGTTGCCCTACCTTGGTGAAAGATAGCCAGTGTGTTAAAAGAAGAATACAGTATTCTCAAAAAATCTTTGTTACATAGAGATACTTATACTGCACTGATTTTTTAAGGAAACAAATAATGTTGCTATCTACATTCCTTTGGTGTTCTATTTTAACTCATACTTATTTCTCATTGTCCTTATGTATTTTGTGATTTATCTGTCAGAATGTTAAACAGGGCGGCTTGGTTGGTAGTTCCCTCAGCTCGTGTCTGAGGTTCGATTCCCGCCCTGGTGGAAAAGTTGGGTATGTTTAAGAACATAAGAATTGAGGAACACTGCAACAGGCCTACTAGCCCAAACTAAGCAAGTTTTTCTCTAAACCAACCATTCCCAACCACCCACTTGTCCAGCCTATTCCCAAAACTTCCCAAGAATTAGCTTCAATACCTCAGGTGCTAATCATACCAAGCTCTTTTCTCCCTGTAAGTAGGTACCTGGGTGTTAGTTGACTGTTGTGGGTGGCATCCAGGGAGGGTGGTAGTATACCTTAGTTATGGCTAGGTTTTGAAATGAGTTGAGATAGAATAACTACTGATTATTATAGGAGAGAGAGAAGCTTATGACGATGTTTCGGTCTGGCTTGGACCATTTGCTTAGTCCAAGTCGAACCGCAATGTTGTCGTCAGTCTATCCTATTTTCAGGTTATTTGTGTATTGTTTCAGTCATGGTATTGTTCTTTAGTGATTGTTGTGTCTTGTGTAGCAAGTCTGTATGACCCTTGTGGGTTTAGTGCTTAGTTATGATTATAATAATAGTAATTGTGTTGCAGGTGACACCAGAGTACAGCCCTGCACGAGTGTTCCAGACCGGGTGGTCACTGGACCTGGGTTGGGGTGGTGTGGTGACCTGCCTGGTAGCAGCGCTCCTCTGGCTACTATTAGCTCGCATCATGCGCTACAACCCCATCTCTCTCTCCTGATGCTACCCTCACCATCACAACTGGGGCCGTCCTTGTCGTCGTGCCCTGCTGGCCTGTCTGCGAGCCTGCTACTGCGCCCGTCCTGCTCTTAACTGAACTACTACTACTGTGTAGCTAGTTAGATCAATGTTTTGTGTAGGCCTCCATTAGCAGGAGGCCTATGTTGAAGAGGTGAGGTGCTGAAGCCAGTCTTCTCTTTTGTCACGAGTTCACCACTCAAATGTGGGGGCCTTGATGCAGGCAAAGCACTTGATCTGAGGGATTGGGGCTACCTTGTCCTTCATATAATTAAACCTGATTACCTTTTATTTCCCAAAAACTGTATGACACCTACAGGTTTAATGCTCACCCATGAATTTAATAATTTATTTTAAGATAATGAATATGAGAAAGATCTCTGTATTATTATATTCTTGAAGTCAGCATATAAGGGTCATGAAACACCTGGGAAGTGACAGGTAAATAGGTTTGAGTAAAGATTCCTTATTTCAGGATGATACAATGTTTGTACAGAGATGGGTGACATTTAGTTGTGCATACAGAAAGCCCCATATTATACTTCCAAGGAAAGGAAGTGTAGCACCAGTTCTATGAATTAAGAGACCTTCTCTGCATCAAGGCATCTCCTCCTTGAAGAGCTGGCTTTATTAGACTTGCTTTAAGGGTAAAAAATGAGAGATTTATTTGTCAGTGTTTTACTTACATTCAGTTTGCAAATTGGTGCAAATTTACCGTAAGGTGCATTGAGTGGACGCACCGAGTGTAGTAATGCTGGCTGCCTTCTCTTGAACAATTATTACATATTGTAGTTTATATTCATGCATATTAGAAGAGATCTTTGACAAATTGGATACCTCTCATAACTTAGCTATCAGGCAGGAATATTTTGATGTGTTTAAAAAGCAGTGTGTATATCTTAGATTGCATATGCCAAGATATTGGTTAGATCAAGACATTAAGCAGAACAAGCCTTTACTAAGAAAGTGTTTCACTGGATTATGTTAGGTAATGTTTGGCAGGAAACAGGACAAGTGTTTTCTCACGCAGGTCTTAATCACATGATGACCTGCAGCTGGAGCTTTTGGTCATCTGACCGAGACTTTCCACTGTTTCACTGGTGGAAAGCTTTAACAAGTCATACAAATAATAATAATAATCTTTATTTCTACAAGTACATGATACAACTTATACAGACCATAGCTGACACCAGAGATATACTATATAAAAAGCCCCTGGTTATGAAAGGTTTTGGGGCAAATTGGGTTTTTTTTGTCCCCCCATGATGAAACCCACACCATGACAAAACCCAGGTGCTTACTGCTGGGTGAACAGGGCAAAAAAAACTTCTGTATCTTTTTTTGTTTCAACACCCCCGGCCGTATCCCACTGAGCGGGTGGCCCCAAAAAGGGAAAGGAAAATTTCTCCTTTTAATTAAGTAAATATACAAAAGGGGTTACTACCCCTTGCCCGGGCTTTTAGTCCCCCTCTTACAACACGCAGGGTTTACGGGGAAAAATTCGCCCATTTCCCCCATGGAGATAAGGGGAAAAAAACAAGAAAAAAAATTTCGGAAGAAAATAGAAGAAAACCCAGAGGGTAGATTATATGCTTGACATGTACATGTGTATTGTGACTACGTGTAAGTAGAAGTAGCAAGACGACATAAAATTTGCATGTTATGAGACAGAAAAAGACACCACAAACCCACCATCATGTAAAACAAAACAGGCTTGCGTTTTACACTCACTTGGCAGGGGGTAGTTCCCCCTGGGGTTTTCTGTCTACCACCCTAAAACCTTTTCCCCGCGGTGGGGAGTAGCCACTCTCATTGTGGGCCAGGTAATAAACCCTGGAGATTAACATAAAAAACTTTTATTTATATAAAATATATTATAAAAAAATAATAATATATATAATATATATATAATATATATATAAAATTTTAAAAAAAAAATAAATTATTATATAAACAATATACACTACATGTACTGTTTTTTTAACACACTCATCGAGTTTTCTTTTTTTTTATCTTAATAGTTTTGGTCTTTTTACTTTTCCTTTTTTATCCCTGGGGGGGGGAATAAAATCTTTCCTCCGTAAACCGCGTGTTTTAAAAGTCAACTAAATGCCGGGAACAATGGGCCAGAACCCCTTTTCCTGTAAAATTACAAAAAGAAAAATAAGAAAAAATTTTTCAAAGTGGGGGTTGAATTTGGGGGGTTGTGTGAAAAGATAAGAAAAAGATGATGTGGATGTTATGAATGAGAGAAAAGGATGTCCTGGCTTAATGAAACAAAGCTGAAGGGGGGGAGAGTTTCAATGGAGAGGAATAAAGGGGATTAGGTCGGGGGTTTCAAATAGAGTTAGAGCTAATGAAGGAGTAGCAATAATGTTGAAGGATAAGCTATGGCAGGAAAAGAGGGACTACAAATGCATAAATCAAGATTATGTGGAGTAAAATGAAGATTGGATGTGAAAAGTGGGTTATAGTAAGCGTGTATGCACCTGGAGAAGAAAGAAGTGTAAGGAGAAGAGAGAGATTCTGGAAATGTTGAGTGAATGCGTGGGGAGTTTTGAATCAAGCGTGAGAGTAATGGTGGTTGGGGATTTCAATGCTAAAGTGGGTAAAAATGTTATGGAGGAGTAGTAGGTAAATTTGGGGTGCCAGGGGTAAATGTAAATGGGGAGCCTTTAATTGAGCTATGTGTAGAAAGAAATTTGGTAATAAGTAATACATATTTATGAAAAAGAGGATAAATAAATATACAAGGTATGATGTAGCACGTAATTAAAGTAGTTTTGTTAGATTATGTATTGGTGGATAAAAGGTTGATGGGTAGGCTCCAGGATGTACATGTTTATAGAGGGGCAACTGATATGTCAGATCATTATTTAGTTGTAGCTACAGTTAGAGTAAGAGGTAGATGGAAAAGAGGAAGGTGGCAACAAGAAGTAAGAGGGAGGTGAAAGTGTATAAACTAAGGGGAGGAGAAGTTCGGCGAGATATAAGCGACTATTGGCAGAAAGGTGGGCTAGTGCAAAGATGAGTAGTGGGGGGTTGAAGAGGGTTGGAATAGTTTTAAAAATGCAGTATTAGAATGTGGGGCAGAAGTTTGTGGTTATAGGAGGGTGGGGGCAGGAGGAAAGAGGAGTGATTGGTGGAATGATGAAGTAAAGGGTGTGATAAAAGAGAAAAAGGTAGCTTACGAGAGGTTTTTACAAAGCAGAAGTGTTATAAGAAGAGCAGAGTATAAGGAGAGTAAAAGAAAGGTGAAGAGAGTGGTGAGAGAGTGCAAAAGGAGAGCAGATGAAAGAGTGGGAGAGGCACTGTCAAGAAATTTTAATGAAAATAAGAAAAAATTTTGGAGTGAGTTAAACAAGTTAAGAAAGCCTAGGGAAAGTATGGATTTGTCCGTTAAAAACAGAGTAGGGGAGTTAGTAGATGGGGAGAGGGAGGTATTAGGTATACAGAATACAACAGTCTAGAAGCATACACATATAAAGATACACAACATATCCCTCCAAACTGCCAATATCCCAAAACCCCTCCTTTAAAGTGCAGGCATTGTACTTCCCATTTCCAGGACTCAAGTCCGACTATATGAAAATAACCGGTTTCCCTGAATCCCTTCACTAAATATTACCCTGCTCACACTCCAACAGATCGTCAGGTCCCAAGTACCATTCGTCTCCATTCACTCCTATCTAACACGCTCACGCACGCTTGCTGGAAGTCCAAGCCCCTTGCCCACAAAACCTCCTTTACCCCCTCTCTCCAACCCTTTCGAGGACGACCCCTACCCCGCCTTCCTTCCCCTATAGATTTATAATACTTTCCATGTCATTCTACTTTGATCCATTCTCTCTAAATGACCAAACCACCTCAACAACCCCTTTTTAGCCCTCTGACTAATACTTTTATTAACTCCACACCTCCTAATTTCCACACTCCGAATTTTCTTCATAATATTTACACACACCATTTGCCCTTAAAACAGGACATCTCCACTGCCTCCAACCGTCTCCTCGCTGCTGCATTTACCACCCAAGCTTCACATCCATATAAGAGTGTTGGTACTACTATACTTTCATACATTCCCTTCTTTGCCTCCATAGATAACGTTTTTTGACTCCACATATACCTCAACGCACCACTCACCTTTTTTCCCTCATCAATTCTATGATTAACCTCATCCTTCATAAATCCATCCGCCGACTCGTCAACTCCCAAGTATCTGAAAACATTCACTTGTTCCCTACTCCTCCTCCCCAATTTGATATCCAATTTTTCTTTATCTAAATCATTTGATACCCTCATCACCTTACTCTTTTCTATGTTCACTTTCAACTTTCTACCTTTACACACATTCCCAAACTCATCCACTAACCTTTGCAATTTTTCTTTAGAATCTCCCATAAGCACAGTATCATCAGCAAAAAGTAACTGTGTCAATTCCCATTTTGAATTTGATTACCCAAAATTTAATCCCACCCCTCTCCTGAACACCCTAGCATTTACTTCCTTTACAACCCCATCTATAAATATATTAAACAACCATGGTGACATTACACATCCCTGTCTAAGACCTACTTTTACCGGGAAGTAGTCCCCCTCCTCTTCTACACACCCTAACCTGAGCCTCGCTATCCTCATAAAAACTCTTTACAGCATTTAATAACTTACCACCTATTCCATATACTTGCAACATCTGCCACATTGCTCCTCTATCCACTCTATCATATACCTTTTCTAAATCCATAAATGCAATAAAAACTTCCCTACCTTTATCTAATACTGTTCACATATATGCTTCAATGTAAACACTTGATCTACACATCCCCTACCCACTCTGAAACCTCCTTGCTCATCCGCAATCCTACATTCTGTCTTAACTCTAATTCTTTCAATTATAACCCTACCATACACTTTTCCTGGTATACTCAGTAAATTTATTCCTCTATAATTTTTACAGTCTCTTTTGTCCCCTTTCCCTTTATATAAAAGGACTATTCATGCCCCTCCGCCAATCCCTAGGTACCTCCCCTCTTTCATACATTTATTAAACAAAAGTACCAACCACTCCAACACTATATCCCCCCTGCTATATATATATATATATATATATATATATATATATTTTTTTTTTTTTTTTTTTTTTTTTTTTTTTCAACAAGTCGGCCGTCTCCCACCGAGGCAGGGTGACCCAAAAAAGAAAGAAAATCCCCAAAAAGAAAATACTTTCATCATCATTCAACACTTTCACCACACTCGCACATTATCACTGTTTTTGCAGAGGTGCTCAGAATACAACAGTCTAGAAGCATACACATATAAAGATACACAACATATTCCTCCAAAACTGCCAATATCCCAAACCCCTCCTTTAAAGTGCAGGCATTGTACTTCCCATTTCCAGGACTCAAGTCCGACTATATGAAAATAACCGGTTTCCCTGAATCCCTTCACTAAATATTACCCTGCTCACACTCCAACAGATCGTCAGGTCCCAAGTACCATTCGTCTCCATTCACTCCTATCTAACACGCTCACGCACGCTTGCTGGAAGTCCAAGCCCCTTACCCACAAAACCTCCTTTACCCCTTCTCTCCAACCCTTTCGAGGACGACCCCTACCCCTCCTTCCTTCCCCTATAGATTTATATATGCTTTCCATGTCATTCTACTTTGATCCATTCTCTCTAAATGACCAAACCACCTCAACAACCCCTCTTCTGCCCTCTGACTAATACTTTTATTAACTCCACACCTTCTCCTAATTTCCACACTCCGAATTTTCTGCATAATATTTACACCACACATTGCCCTTAAACAGGACATCTCCACTGCCTCCAACCGTCTCCTCGCTGCTGCATTTACCACCCAAGCTTCACACCATATAAGAGTGTTGGTACTACTATACTTTCATACATTCCCTTCTTTGCCTCCATAGATAACGTTTTTTGACTCCACATATACCTCAACGCACCACTCACCTTTTTTTCCCTCATCAATTCTATGATTAACCTCATCCTTCATAAATCCATCCGCCGACACGTCAACTCCCAAGTATCTGAAAAACATTCACTTTTCCATACTCCTCCTCCCCAATTTGATATCCAATTTTTTCTTTATCTAAATCATTTGACACCCTCATCACCTTACTCTTTTCTATGTTCACTTTCAACTTTCTACCTTTACACACATTCCCAAACTCATCCACTAACCTTTGCAATT